ATGTCTGTCTCTCTCCCCTTGGCCCTCTCCCACCGCATTCCAGATTGTTTCAGTGCTTCCCCAGTTGTGGTCCCCAGACCGAAACCTATATCAGGATCTGGGGGGGGGGGTGGAGATGAGCCCAGAAATCTGAATTTAACCAGCGCCCAAGTGACTCCTGGAAGAACTAAAGCTGAGAACGGCGGGTTGCTGTGGGCCAAGGGAACAGGAGAGTCAGAGAACTCTGACTGTGGAGGTGACTTTCCCTCAGATTCTCATAAGATCAGGTTCACCTCTTTGCATTTCTCTTCTGAGGAGGTCGGAGCCAGCCTAGGGCGCCCAGGCCGGGTGTGGTGGAGACAAAGGCAGAAAGGGGGAGCGAGGGGCGCCTGTGCACAAGCAGCCGCTAAATGCATCATGTATGTATTTCATTCATTCTCACAGCAACAGTATTATGACCTTCATTTTACAAGTAAGGAAATTAATGCCCAAAGAAGTTCAATAGCTTTACTAAGTTTCCACAGCTAGTCCAGGATCCACACAGAGGGGCAGAGAATGCCAACGCTCATAGACTTTCCACTGTCTTATCCCAATTTTTCCTTCTGGCCGAACACCCTTGCTCATCATATCAACTCTGGACGAGGGGCTGTAACTGATCCTACCTCCCTAGTCTGACGCTCTGGAGATAAGAGATGGAGGATGACTTAAAAGAGCCTCCCGGAAGCGTTTGTAGAAACATCTCCCCATAAGCTCTGCTCTCCAAGAATCTTGGACATCTTACTGTGGGGTGGTTAAGACAGGTGTCCTATGCGGGAAACCAGAATTACGGCTCAGACCTCTGGTCGGAGGGCATTTCCCCCGATGGCCTGGATGGGGGCCAGTGATTGGGAAACTGCCTCTGACCAGTTCCTGAACTGACAGTCCCCGAGCAGTCCCACCTGGGGAGTCTGTTTAGTTTCCCCTCTGATGCAGGAGTGTCCCCCCAGAGATGAGGTGGAGAGAGGGCTTTCTGATGGGCAACTGTCTTTCACTTCTTTTACAGGAAGAACTCTTCTTCTCCCATCTTATTGTATTTGGGATTAAAAAATAAGATTTAAAAAAAGACCTGAATGGGTAGAAGATATTTTGCCACAAGAATATATATTTGATCTCAAGAAGTGAGAAAACCTTAACTGTTCTCCCTGGCAGCGCAGTCCTTCTGATGCCTTCAGAACGTGTCCCCCGGGAGCACATCGATCCTTTGGGACCTTGGGAGGACCAAAGTTTTTCTCAGGACAGCGGCTCCTAGTCTCTGCTTCCTGGACTCAGAGGGTCTGCATTCTGGGCACATGATGGCCTGGATCCTACCAAGGGATAGAGTCAGGTTCAGGGACTACCAGGTCGTCCGTGAGAGGGGAAGGAGTCCCACCAGGTACCTGCTGCCCCGGGAGGGGTGGTTGGGAGAGGTTAGGGAAGGGTTTGCCTTTTCTTTCCGTTGGTGGCGGTGGAGGATAGGTATGGATATACGTAGGTGCGCCTCTGGTGTTTGCCCCATTATTTAATGCCGAAGCTCCCCCGCTGGGTGCTGCCTCCACCCCACTCCACCCCCTGGCTGCTCGCCTCTCCACCACTGTCCACTAGCACCAAGGGAATAAGAGCGGACATGCTGGGGGACCACTTGGTTTTTGAACAAAGTAGAAATGGGCAGGGACGTCTGGGGGTGCAAAGGGGTGTGGTGGGGGCAGGACAGTGGCGTGAAGTAGCTGCGCACTAAGCCTTTCTCATCGCATGTCCCCTCACCCAAAGAGAGCAGGCCTTCGCGCAGGCGTCCTCGTTGCTCTAATTTGCAATGAATGAAACACTCAATTCCCTCTCCTCTTAATGTCCTGAGAGTGGGCAGTGCAGTGAGTATGCACACAGCGGGGGAGGGGGGGTTCCCAGGTGGTCATTCCCTGGGTCCATGGGCATTGCAAAGGGGGATATGCGGTGTGATTCCCTTGATCATGTGGTTAATTTGCATTTCTCATTGTGCTTGGCTCAGGTGAGTAATGACACCCATCTGTGTTTCCTGAGGTCCCAAAGACTGAGGGGACAACTGCAGACACTGGGGCTGGGAGCTGGAACCAGTCTGGGAGTGGGTGTTGGTAACAACGGTACAAAGGGGACTTGAGACTTGGCGAGGAGTGCGTCTGGCCTCGGAGAGAAAAATGGGCGCCGAGGCCCATGCTTTCCAGAATTTTTGAAAGGACTGCAATGCATACCTTCTCATCCTTTGGAGACCCTTGTACTTTGGGGGGCACACTGGGTATTTGAGTAAGAGTAGAAAACAGGCCGAAGGTCTGATTTTCTCTGTCTTAGCTTGGTCTGTGGAGTTTCAGTGGAGAGGGGAGCCTGGGAAAGAGCGCTGGAGTCACCCACGTGGGCCAGCTTTATCCTTTGGGCTGCCTGCTCTTCTGACTCTTCCTTGAACTCTTCATTCCAGACCACTCAGCTCCTCCTTTAAATTTGTTTTTTTCCTCATACAACTTTAGTTCTTAGTTACCCTTGTATCGTACCCTTTGATTTCCATGGGAAATAGCTCCCCTATCAGAAGAGGGCTGTGGGAGCCCTGGGATCTTCTTAACCAGAAGAGTTTGTTCTGCCTTTTACTGTTGGCTGCAAGGAGGGTCTGGGGAGAAGTTTCATCCACAAACCAACGGCACCTCTTGCTGCCTGAGTCATTGACTGGTCTTCGCACACAAAGCATGGAAACTTATTAAAAAGCTTATGAATATATCTAAGCTCCTGGCTGTTTGACTTTTCAGTGCATGGTGTCATATCTGGGGGGTGGTATCAGATTTGGCATTTTAGTTATGCTTGGCTCAGACCCATAGTAACATCAAGGTGTTTCTCACAAGCATGGACTCACTTAAGCAACCCAGAACCACAGGAGGTGGCAGGGCTGGACAGGGCTCGCCTCGCAGGTCCCCAGGCTGATTGCCAGAGCATGAAGGTCACTTCTTGCTCAAGGTCTCCTTGAGACATGGCAGAGTTGATGCTTGAATTTTGATCTCCTGTCTTCTCAGCCCCCAAGTTTTACCCTTTCCTGTGGATGAATGAGGTGCCCTAAATTGAATGTTGGCCTATTGTCACTATGACCATATCCCTAAGGCCCAGACAGGGAGAAACAGGGAGGAAGCCAGCTTGGTGTCAGTGCTGGGAAGAGGCTGCTGCCACCAATGGGGCTGCAACTCTTTGGGCCTGCGGTGAGATTCCTCAGAATGCACAGGGTCTTAACTTATTCTCCCAGGGAAAAGCTGGGGATGGGGCGGCAGAGGGGGCTGGCAGGTGGACATCTGGGTGGAATAGTGGCAGCCAATTTGTGAATAGTGACAGTCAGCCTCGGACTCACCTCCAATGGATAAATGGAGTCCCAGAGGGCTGATATCTACAACCCCTGCTCTACCAGCTGCCTCAGTTCATCCATCCATCCCAGACCTGGCATGTCCTGACCCCTGTCCTGGGGCATAGTTGGGGGTCAGAGCCAGGAGGAGATACTTCCTGCCCTCAAGGAACCTCCAGCTTGATTCAGACTCCAGAGATGACCAATGATATCCCTGGCCACAAAGACAGAACCAGAGATCCTCATATTTCCAGACACTGTGGCGCAGGGGAAGAGGGGTGTGTGTGTATGTGTGTTGGGGGTGGGGAAGGAGGGGAGGGAGGAAGAGTGCAGAGAGCATTGAGCAAAGGCAAAAGGGAGGATGCGTGTGGGATGGCCTATGTGTCCATGTGGGATGGTCCTTGGTGGCCTCAGAGCATAGACTTGTCTCCATGAGGTGGTGCCCTCATCTAGGAACGTCAGCACTGGGTTGTGCAGGGCTGAGGGGCAGGTGGAAAACAGGAGATGGAGGGAGCCTGTGTTCGGCATAAGGAGCACTCTCATAGGCTGGGAACTGGTTTGAACCGAGTGGGAGGGGGCAAGGGTGATGAGTTTAGGATGGGATTATGGCTGCTGGGGGTATGTGAGGGATGTTTAAGGGGAAAGGGGCCATGGGGAAAGCGGGAGCTGTGGTCCAGGCCTGAGTGGACTGGGAAGTACTGAGTTGTAATCAGGCTATGGAAGTGGACGGGAAGAGGCAGAATCACTGGGAAACGGGAAACACTGCATGGGTGGGGGTGGGGCTGGAAAGGATTGGCCGCCTGGAGACGGGGCGAGAGGGAGCGGAGTGTCAGAATGTTGGAGGGGGTGCCCATTGTGTTCATAAGATCATATATCCTTGCATTGCAGCAGCATTTATTGAAACACCAATTGAAACAACCCAGAAGGCAAGCCACCCACAGACAGTCGTAACAAGCGGGAGACCCAGGAAGTGGCCTAACCTTCCCCATCCCACCCACTCCGCGTTGGACAGACCCCTCCTGCACGGGCAGGAGAAGATCCGGAGCAACCATGGAGTTTTCTCTGAAATGTATAAGGTGCATTGGATAACAATACCTGTTAAAAGTCAAAAGGATTTCCCTCCCCATAATGGGCCTCTCAGCTGGGAGGTCACTGAGAAGGCTGGAACAGGTTAACCCAGAGAAAGGCAGTCAGTCAGAGAGACCAGAGAGACGAGACAGATGAGAGGAACACACAAAAAAAATGACCACTGGGCAGGTGCTCCCTGCAGAGACATCCCCAACCAGGAGAGGGAGCCACTGGGTGTGGGGAAGCTTCCTCTCTGATTCTCAGGTTGTGGGAGACCTGAGGAAGGTTAGGCTCATTTCTTATCCTAGGGAAAGATCAAACTCGTATGATGTCCAGCCACGCAGGGTGACTGACAAACGGTACAAATTGGCCACGGGTGTTTTTGAGTCAAATTGGATTTACATGAAGGGCTGGGAATGACTCTAATTGAAGCCAAGAGGAGAACCAGGAAACAACTCCCTAAAAAGAGAAGGTGGCAGAGTGGCCCCAGGGTCAGTTCCTCTGTAGGAACATGTGGAAGATTCCAGAAGCAAGCACACATTTTCCATTCACACACCATCTGTGCACAAATGGACACAGGCGGCCCCAGACTCTATGCAAAGCGGACGGACCGGCTGCTCCCGCAGCTGAAGCTGGAGGGGCAAGGCTGACAGGGGGCGCAGGAGTCCTGTGCCATCACCGTGATGCTGCCCCCCGTGGCCATGGGGCCGGAGACAATCTGGCGCCCAGGGGTGGTGCTACACGTGAGGCCCCCGCAGGTGACTCCGCCGCGGGAACTGCTGACGCCTGTGAGAAGAGGGGACAATGAGAGATGAGTGGCCTCCCGTGATCTCACCAACCCGGGGTCAGGCCCTAATTGGCTTCCGTATGTCAGGACCTTCTTTCTCCTCATAGCGTTTTAGTGGTTAATAACTCAGGCTCTGTTCCTTTCAGCATCTCAGCCCTTCTAAGGGAATGGGGCAAGAAAGACAAGGGGAACCCTGGGAAATCAGCGGGGCGAGTTGCCTGGCCTGATTTCCATGGCCTGCAGTTCACACCATCACCAGGGGAGGGAGCTCAACCTTACTTTCCCTATAAGGCCTTCGGTGTCCCCAGTGAGACGCCAGGGCAAGATGAAAGGCTGCCTCCCAGTCCGGGAGCATTCCAGGTTCACTGGCTTAGACTGTAAGGTTCAGCTTTGCCCATCTACAAAGCCATTTTTCCAGGGGTTTTCCAGTAGATACTTACAAACATTCACGGCGCTCACACCTTCACACAGCCTATAGAGAAAGAAAACTGTTAACTCTGGACACTGAGCTCGATTCTTTGAGATGATGGCTGCTTGGGGACAGAGAGCGCCATCCTGTGTACAGATCCTACCCCCAGAAGCAGGAAGGGCTCCCCCAAGTCTGCATTAAAGGCTCACTTTCTTTAACTGCTCTCTGACCACGGAGACAAGGCCTTCTGATTTTTCAGCAGAGGGGGGTGAGATTATGGACTCGACCCATTGCTTCCACCCTGAGAGATCAGGCCCACGCTGCATAGTATGACTGGGCTCACAGAAAGCGGCTGTATCACATGCACCAGGGTGTGTGACAGGGCTTTGTGGTCAGTGAGGAGCTACTGCCCACATACAGGAGTAGGCAAAAGTAGGTTTACAGTTGTGAGCATGTGAAACACAGTGTTTATTCTCGTACTATTATTTATTCTTGTTTTATATATTTTTTTCATAGAGACATCTGCCAACCCACTTTTGCCAACCTACTTTTGCCCACCTCTGTATAGAGTGCATTGTCCTTAAAATGGGCAAGCCTGCCTGCAGGCCAAGCTACAGCCTCCTGTAGGAAGCTACTCAGATACATTGGGTTTCAGAGGCACATGACTTGGGTGCAGGTCCCAGCTATTGTACTTAAAAAAAATTTTTTATTTATTTATTTTTAGAGAGAGGGGAAAGGGGAGACAGAGGGGGAGAAAGAGAGAGAAACATCAATGTGCAAGCAGATATATTAATTGATTGCCTTTCACATGTCCCCAATTGGGGACCTGACCTACAACCCAGTCAGGAACCTGGATCAGGAATCAAACCAGTGACCCCTTGGTTCACAAGCTGGCACTCAATCCACTGAGCCACACCAGCCAAGGTGTGAGCTATTGCATTTATTAGCTGTATGGTCATGAGAAAGTCACTGAATATTGAGCCTTATTCCTTATTTTTGGGTGGGAAAAATGATACTTACCCCATCAGACTGTGAAGACTACAGTGAGCGCTTAGCACAGGACCAATCCATAATAAGAATCTGACAATTATTATTTTTGAAGCTTGACCTGTACTAGTGGTCAGCAGAGATGTAGCTCACACTTGGGCTTAAGGAAATTCACTCCCAGGGGACCAGGTCCTCTACTTCCTATACCCCAGAAGGTCTTCCTTAGCCCCACCTGTGCTCCTCGCCCTCCAGCAGGCGCCTGTAGGTGGCGATCTCGATGTCCAGGCCCAGCTTGGAGTTCATCACCTCCTGGTACTCCTTGAGCAGGCAGGCCATGTCCTGCTTGGCCTTCTGCAGGGCGGCCTCCAGCTCGGCCAGTTTGCAGCGGGCATCGCTGATGGCTGCCTCGCCCTGCTGCTCCGCTTCTGCCACAGCAGCTTCCAGCTTGGCCCGCTATTGGGAAGAAGGTGAGAAGACAAGGATGAGAGGGAGAAGGCACAGCTTGGTTCACTCAAACTAATGGACTGGAGCAGGGAGAGGAAGGTCCCAGAAAGAAGGCAGGTTAGCTGTCTGTGACCAAGTAGTTAATGTGTTGTAAACACATGGAGGAGATGTGTAAGCTTTCACCATCTCTACTTGGTGGTGGTCACAGGGTGGCCAAGGAGGGGGGTGGGGGGCATCAGTGATATAGCTCATCCCAGTTCAAGTGCTGTGTGATGTGGTAGAGCCCCTGTCCTCTCTCTGGATCTCTGCTTCCTCACGTGCACACTATGAGGCCTGATTTGGTCCAGAAGGGCAAAGGGCTTGGTGTTGCAGTCTGCCTGAGCTGGGTGTTTGAGCTCTCCCCACACGCTACCTGGCACTTGGCATTCTCAATCTCAGCTGTCAGCCTCTGGACCATGCGGTTCAGCTCGTTGATCTCCTCCTTGGTGCGGCGCAGGGTCTCCCCGTGGCGGATCACGGTGGCCTTCATCTCCTCGCACTGGGGGGAAGCAGAGACTCAGGACGGCATGTCCCACCCATTCAGGACACCATGGATGACAGTGCAGGCTGTACGGTGCTCAGCCTGTGCAACCATCCATGGCAGCCCTGTTCTGCCCCCTCAACCTGAGAGCTCCCTGCCCTTCTGTTACCATCGCTTGGGACCAGAATCCACAGACCAAAGAAGACTTTTCTAATATTTACCTCAAATCTGTCCCACTGCCATATCTAGGGGGCAGGTGTCCTGTACCACCCACCTTGGTGCGGTACCAAGACTCGGCCTCGGCCCGGCTGCGGCTGGCAACATCATCGTATTGAGCCTTGATCTCGGCCACAACACAGTCCATGTTCAGGTCCCGGCTGTTGTCCATCTTGACTATGACCGAGGTGTCTGAGATGTGAGCGTGGAGAATCTGGACCTCCTGGGGGACCAACAGCCAATGCATTTAGTTCTGTTGCCTGATCTGGGCCACGTGTTCCACCCCGGGGAGCATTGCTCATGCTCTGGAGGGGACACTGGTCATAAATGTTACATGACTCCTGCTTCCCATGCTCCCACCCACTTCCATTCACACACAGACACATCATAAAATAAAGCTGGAAGGGGTCTAGTATGTGAAAAAACAGCCTAATTCTAAGTCATCTAGCAAAGGAACTGAGGATTTGTCCATTAATTAAGACCCCTGTCTAGCTAGAAATCGCCCTGATGCCCACCCTCACATATGTACTTTCATACTCATGTGTGGAGTGACAGATGCACACACCAGCACACAGATACACTGCAACATGCAGAAGTGCTCAGAGACATAGAGAGGCCTGACCACACACAGTCCTGTCTTCATACATGTATGCCAGGCTCTCAGCTTGGCACATATACACACATGCCTATGACAGCCATACAACATACCCTTTTTGCCTGTGTGTACATGTTCTTTTCATGCTTATATCACACATGGGGCAAACACATGCACATAATGAACCCGTACCCCTCTCCCCCAGCTCTCCACACGTCCCCTCCACTGCCCCCACTGGTTGGCAGGGGTCCCCTCACCTCGTCATAGAGGCGCTTCAGAAAGCTCGATTCCTCCACCAGGGCCTCCACGTTGGCCTCCAGGTCTGATTTCCGCAGGTAGGCGCAGTCCACGTCCTGGTGGTACAGAGAGGAGGAGGGGCACGCATGTGGGAGGGGACCCCAGGAGGGAAGGTGCCTCTCTGGTCAGTGTGGTGACCGCACCCCCATTGGAGGTTGCACAGATGGGTCGCCCTCCTTCCCTGCCCTGCAACCAGTCTCCTCACCTTCTTTAGAACCACGAACTCGTTCTCTGCGGTGGCTCTCAGAGCCACCTCCTCTTCATACCTGAGTGTGGGGGACAGAGGGACCAGAGCTGAGGGCTCAGCACTTGGATACTACCCCAGTTCCCACTCAAGCTTTTCCAGGTGCCAACAGGAATTAACTTGCTGCAAATGTTATCTTGTTCCCTCCATAGTCTATTTTGTGTGTTATTCATGGGCTAGCCCTTGTGCCAGCTTGGCTTATTCTACCTCAGTTCTTCTGCTTGTGGGATGAGATCAGGGAAGCACACTTTATCCCCCAAGTCTAGAATCATCTGTGCACCCTAGATCCAAAGAGAGAGCATGCCCTGGGCAGGGAGAGCACAGAGCCCATGTCACACACGTGAGCCCGAAGGGGCAGGACCAAAGACAGCTGCAAAACTCCACTGGGATTCCTTTCTTTACTCCCCTGGAACCAGCTCTAAGACCCGCGGGACCTCCAAGGGGTGGAGATGAAGCCAAAGAATCCAAAGAAATCTAGGTCTCTCCTGGACATTTCCTGAGGTTCCAGGTACTCCTGTTCACATGCAGGAATCTTAGAGAAGCTGCTTCCACAGGTTGTGGGTGGAGCCTCCCCCTTTTCCCTGTGTTTCCCCTGGTTATGCTGAACTTACTTCTTCTTGTAGCCTTCCAGCACCTCCTGCACGTGGTTGAGCTCTGAGGCCAGTCTCCCGCTGTCAGCCTCTACACACTCGGCCTCCCGCCTCAGCGTCTCAATGTAGCCATTGAACAGCGGCTCCAGGTTGCTCTCGCAGCAGCGCTGGTTCTGGTAGAACTGCCACTTGGTCTCCAGCAGCTTGTTCTGCTGCTCCAGGAAGCGCACCTGCCGCCCAACAGAAAGAGACTCAGTGAGGAGTCTAGGCGGGGTGCATGGTCCACAGAGCTGGATCTGCCCTGTTGCTCCCTGAGCGGCAGGGCCAGCCAAGAGCTGAGCCATGGGGTCAAATGTCTGCAACCAAAGGGGCCTAGATCCTAACTCCCCGGGGCAATGTGGGTATTAGGGAAAGCACTCAGGCTTGAAACCAAAAGTCTGGTTCAAACCCTGGTTCTGCCACTGTAAGTGGGCAAGCTGTCTAACTGCTTGGTGCTGGGTTTTCTCATTTTTAAAACAGAGATGATCATAGTACCTTCTCTAGAGTTGTGAAGATTGAACAAGTTAATGCACGTCAAGTGCTCAGTACAGTCTCCGACACATAGTAAGTGCTTCATTAGTTTGATCATTACTGTAATTACTCTAATTAACTATTATTATAATTCACTTATTCATCTATACAACACTTATTCAATATCTAATATGTGGTACCAGGGCCTGTGCGAAGATACACACACACATTCATCTACATCTATCTGTATGTATATTTATATTTATGTCTATCTATCTACATCTATCTGCCTATTTCATTCCATTCTTACAGTCCTTCGGGTGGGGAGATGTTATTTCCATCAACAAACAGATGGAAAGGGAAACTGTACTTTGGTGTGGAATGACCGGCTTTTTGTCACACACTGATGGAGTCAGGATCTGCCATCCTTTAAGACCCCTTCACCTGCCCACCATAGGATGTCTAAGCAGCTCATCTAAACTCCCTCAGCTTCAATTTGTTACTCAGAAATGAAGATAATAATATACCCCATGGGGCCATTTTGAGGATTAACTACAATCACTACAGAGAAAGTGCTAACAGGAAGGTCACTGCTGTCACCCCAGAGCCCCTGATCTCAGACCCCAGAGCCTGGTCCCATCCACTCCACCAGAGTGAGGCCCATGGGCACGGGAGGGTCCAACAAGAAGGGAGGTGCAGGGGTGGCCTTCTTGGGTGGCAGCCTCACAGCAGTGTGGCATTTGTCATGCTGTGTCCATGGGCCTTCCCTCACCAGCCTGCATGCCTTCCCTTCCATAGTCCCACCCCTTCATCCATTAAAGAGGCTGCCAGGCCTTGTTGGTTAACTCTCACATCAGTTAACTACTGTCCTTGGAAAATAACACTATCAGCTAATACTTTTGAGCACTTATTATATGTCTGCATTTTTTATGCACAGACCCATTAATCCTCACAACTACCACTTGAGGCTGGTTCTATTATCCAGACATGTAACACACATGCCAGGGGTCCCACACTGCTGAGGGACAGAGCAACAATGCAGGAGGCAGCGTGGCTCCCAGCTGTGCCCCAGCCACTTCCAGAGCTGCCTGAGCCAAGAGCCACATTTTCTGTTCTCCCCATTTGCTCCCAGTCTTCAGCACCCAGTCTAGTTTATTGAGGGCAGCTCTGATATTCCTATGTTGTCTCCAGAAGTACACAAACGCTTTTGACCACAAGCTCGATTTCTGGGCTACTCTGGGCCCTCAATACACTTTGTTGGAATTAAACAATGAATGCTGATCCTCATGCCTATAATGGTTGCATTTCTCTCCCTCTCCTGCCTCAAACCTGTCTGCCATACTGTCTCCCCAACAGACTGGGACCTTCCCGAAGCCGGGCAGGGCTGGAACCATCCTGGGCCTCACTGACCTTGTCGATGAAGGCAGCGAACCTGTTGTTGAGGCACTTGATCTGCTCCTTCTCCTCATGCTTCACACACTGGGCATTGGGGTCAATCTCCAGGTTGAGGGGCGTGAGGAGACTCTCGTTGACCGACACGGTGGTGATGCAGGGCGGGCTGGGTCCGCACACGCCGCCAGAGCGGTATCCGAAGCTGCGGCCGCAGGAGCTGGAACGGAAGCCACCCACAGCCATGCGGGGCCCACAGGCGCCCAGGTGAGAGAGGCTGCGGCTCCCAAAGCCTGCCAGCCCCCGGTAACAGGATACCCCTCGGTAAGGGGTGGCGGTAATGCAGCAGCGGTTGCCAGTTTTGGGGGCCACAGCCGAGCAGGAGCTGAAGGTCCTGGTGACCCCACATCCAGGGTTGATCCGGTAGGAACGGCAGGACATCGTGTGGGTCTGAGCACAGCCTGAGGGTTGCGGGAGTCTTCGAGGGCTGCAGGGGTCTTCGAGGGCTGCAGGTGCACTGCTTAGGTTCCTTCTGGCCTCTCTGATCCTTCCTGGTCCTTTTATTGGTGGGGAGAGCTAGCGTTGGCTGCATAAAAGGAGTGAAAAGGCATTTTATGTTGTTTATTGGCTTGGGGAGTTTGCCAGCAACTCCCCAAGGACTCGTCTTAAAGGTGAGCTCAGCGGCGACTCTGGGACTCCGTAAAAGTATTGAAGATGTTATTAGGAACACTGTGCGTTTGCACTTTTCATCTTCAAAGCTTGTTTACATATATTAAGTAATTAATTTTCTCATATTCTCCCTGTGAGTTGGCCTCAACCCACACCTGGAGATGGATTTGAGCTCCGTAACAGTCTGAGGTGGGTGGGCTTGGGATAGAGGCAGGGGGCCACTGTCTCAGGGAGAAGTTCCAGGATCCCAGATTGGATGAGACCACAAGAGGTCATTATTTCTTTCTTCCTGGCTCCAGGCAGCATTCCTTGTCAAACAGATCATTGTTTCAGGGGCTGATAGGTCAGACGAATCCAAACCCACCAAGGCAGCAGCATTGTCTGGAAGGTGGTTCAGGGCCAGAGGGGCCATTTTGAACATACTCCCTGCAGGACCAAGGCGTCGAACGCCATTGCTTAGAACCTTCTGGATTTCAGATCAGAGGCTCTGCTTCAGAGCCTCTATTTCTTGCCCAGCAAAACTGCAAACCACTTAACATTCAGTGGCCTCTATAACAGCCGCTTGTGGGTAATGGGAGCCTCCCCTTTAGCCACTTTCTCCCGCTTGGCTGACGGATAGAGAACCCTAACTTGGGATAACCTGGCTGCTATGAACTTGCTCTGGGTAGCTTCCTTTGGCTACTTAAGAAGAAACAGGTCCTTTGAGTCTCTCTTTTAAGACCACCAGCCAGAGGAGGTGCTCATGCTGTTAGTCAGCCTTTGATTGTCATTCTCAGAGAAACGTTTAGGGACTGCTGGGTGGGAAGGTGGGTTTCCCTGTCTAAGGACACTGTGATTTCTGGCTAATAGGTGCTCTGGGGTCCTGGCTCCTTCTAACTTCCCCTTGGCCCTGTGTGTCCTGGGGCCACTTATTAGAAAAGCAATTGCTATTCTTTTAAGGTTCAGTGAGCACAGGCCTGGGGCATGTGGTCCCTGACCTAGGGAGGCTCGATAGACTCTCAAGGTGTTAGGAGCCTTAGGAAGAAGAGCTGATGGCATTCCTTTGAGGTGACAACCCCTCCAGGGAGCCTTCCAGAACCAGACACTGCCACTGTGCCACTATTTCCTGAATCTCCCCTCAAAGGCATGACATTCTGTCCTGGGTCTGCCCTTGTCCCTACAGCTAGGCCCAACGCAGGCCTTCACCCATAACTAGGCTGATGGGCTTCTAGCTCCACATTCCACACCTGTTGTTTTGAGTAGGGCAGAAAGACCTTGGGCAACTGGTGGGGTAGGAGCAGGTAGCTTTACTATGGCCCCAGATGATCTTCAGAGCATAGTTAGCCGTGGGAAACCACTGGGATTTAGCAACCTGGGCAGTGGAATCTAGGCTGGCCGACTGGGTTCCACCTTGGACCCTTTCTAGCTATGTGGCTTTGAGGGAATTCTTAAACTCTCTGAGCTTCTGTTTCCTTCACTGTAATGTGGAATTCTCCCCAGGGTGGTTGGGAGGATTAAGTGGATAATATACAAAAATGTGCTTTGGGGATCAAGGAAAGGACTCTTGCTCCCTGTCGAAGCACTGCCCCCACAACCCACTGCACCCCTCCCCCAGCAGAGACTGGGCCTGTTCCTCGCCCCACCCATGGTCTTCACCTCCTCTGCATATTTATGACTTCTTTACTCTTCCAAGGCTGCCTTTCATGTTTTCTTTAACCTGATTTCACTAGTATAAAAATTTGGGGTGGAGTCTGGGGGTGGAGAGAGGGAGCTATGTTGTGGAGCACGGGGGTTCTGCTGGCCTGGGTCCAGGGGTGTATTCTGGTGCCTTGGACACTGAGCTCACTGACGGACAGCTGTGCGGGACTGGAGCCGACGTGGTGTGGGCCAAGAGGGGTGTGGCCCTTTGAAAGTGGGGAGGAGGGTGGTGGCTGAGTGTGGGAGGTAGAGGATGGGTGAGCCCTCTCCTCAGCCAGCCTCAAGAGCCCATAAAACCTCATCCTCTTTTCTCAACTCCTATGAGCCTCTGCTGTCCTTCAGCTTATTGAAGAGGGTAGAAGCAGACCCATTCCTGCCTTTTGGGAGCAGGAGAGAGTGAACCCTTTTTCCTATAGGGTGGCTCCCCGGTCAGCTGCTTCCCTATGCCCCCAACACGCACACGTGTGCGCGCGCACCTACACACGCATGCATGCACTCCTCCCAAACCTCCACGCTGAATTGGGCCTGGGCACTGAGGAGGGGAAAGGGGAACTAGGGGACTCAGTAGAGCTGGAGAGGCCCCACAGCTTTCAGAAATAAGATTACCCATCCAGGGCCTGCTGAATTGTCCAGAACAATGGTGTGGGCACTTGGCTGGGTAGGCCTGGAGTGAGGGCAGGCCCAGCCTGGCACAGGGATGCGCTCACGGGCACTGTGTAAAGTTTGTATCACTGCGAATGGCTGCTGAGACCATGGCTGGTGGGGGCTGCCAGGCTGGCTCTCTGCACTTTGGACTGGAGGGGCTGGGCTGGAGAGGGAGCCTATGCCCTTCTGCAACTATTTCCAGTTCATTCAGTACAAGTGAGAAACTCACAAAACAGACCAGGCTGACACAGCTGCCCTGTACCCATGGCACATAGGCCTTTGTCCTTTGGGTTTACCCAGGGGAGGGACAGAAAACCCATAGTTCCATGCCTATCTCTGCCCATCACCCACCGCCTCTGCTCAGCAGGACCAGACCCCTGTCCCGTGCTGGGATGGCAGCTGATCTCCCTTCACCAGCCTCCCCCTCATTTACTGTCCACCTGTGCTCTGTTTGTCCTCCAAGCATTCTCCCTAGTTATACTTTGCCTGAAATGTCCCAGGATGGCTAGCCACCTCCTCCAGGAAGCCTTTGTGAACTACTCAGAGGGTGGCTGTGATTTCTCCTCCTCCCTGTCTCAGGAAGCATCTCATAAAACGCCCTTTCCGGGGCTCCCCAGGTAACTCCAATTATCCCCCTCCACACCCTCGTGTCCTGGGTGTTGTCATTCACCACCCTCTTGGTCTTGTACTCTCCTGCCCCCAGACTTTTTGAAGGTCACACCCATTGTCAGGAATGTCCACTCAAGAGCCCACGTCCTTCTCATAATTTAAAATCCTACCAAGAAGTCTCCTCTTCCAGGAACCCTTCAAGAGCTAATTGGATGAGAGAGCTTCTTTACCCCACCCTGGAGCCCCAGGCAACCTCTCCCAGCTCCCCCTGAATCTGCCCCACTCCTGGAGTCCCTCTCCTGGGGTTTCCCCAGGGGCTTTCTCCTTCCCTTTTGAACCCATCTCGGATGAGTCGTCCTCCTGCGTGTTACCTAAGCTGCGATGCTTGTTGGGGGAAGGTTTGCTGTCTCCAGTCAGGCGCTCGCTACCTCCCTTCCCTTCTGCTCTCTCTACTGGGCTTAAAATCCTCCTGCTTCTAGAAATGTTTTCTGGATTTGTCCAAAGGTAAGGCAGCACAGATAGCTTCCTGTCCTGCCTTGTTGACCCTTGTGTTTTGGTATTTGTATCTGCCTGGGCTCTCAAGGGTCATCTCACTGACTTTCCTGGCTGCTGGTTCTCGGGAATTGACCCTGACCGGCTCCCTCTGGACAAGGCCTGTCCTGAGCGGGGTCTCGGTGGCTGCCCACACAGCTCATCCGAGTCGGGCATGGCCCGCCATCTTTGCTGGTCTCCACACTTTTACTCTGCATTTGAATCTACGTCACCTCCTGGTGCCGGGACACAGCTTGTGAAGGGTCTTCTAGCTCTGTGACACTTTCTTTGGTTTATAAAACTTGGGCATGACTCAGAGACCCTGTAAGAGAGGAATGAGGACAACGCAACGGGAAGGAGTAGGATGAACCACTGGTCCATCCCCAATGCATTGGGAGCTGGGCCCCTTATCCAGGTGGCAGAGCTGCTCCCTGGGCTGCCCCACTTCCTCTCACAGGCTCTAGTTTCCTCCACCAGGAGCTCTAGTCTCCTCCTGAAAGCAATGCTCACACCCTCCTGCAGGCAGATTTCCCTGGTGGCTTTGCTATGGTTACTTTGGGTCAGAGCAAATGCTCAATAAATACAGAGCCTTTAATTTCAGAAATGATCATATTAATGGTTTTAAAATTTTTATTCTTTTATTTTTTAGTACTATAACCGTTTTCCTAAACTTTAGGAGAAAAACAGCTACCTAAAACTGATAGGTGATGGTATCAACTACTTGATTCAGAGCGGGAATGGTCCTTTGAGCCAGGCCCCTCATGGCCCTGTGCTGGGAAAGCACGCAGGGACTCTGTGGGAGTCAGGTCTCCCCAACATCTTTCATGGCATGGCTAACAAGACCCCTCGAGATCTTGGTCTTGGGGTACTGACTTACAGGCATGTGCTGCATCACAATGTTTGGGTCAAGGAGAGACCACGAATGTGACAGGGGCCTCAAAATTGCAACAGAGCTAAAAAATTCATATTGCCAAGTGACATCATAGCCATCATAATGTTGCAGTGCAGTGGTTGCAAAAGTCAACACTTGCTGAGGTGGCAAACAACTTTAACCTGGGTGTGGATGGCGATGACGTTGAAGAGCTTCTAGAGGTGGTCCCTGAGGAATTGACTAATGAGGAATTGACTAATGAGGAATTGTTGGACCTGGAACAGGAACACATAGCTGAAGAAGAGGCAAGAGAAAAGGAATCTGTAGAAGAAAAAGAACCCCCAAGAATATGGACAGTGAAGGCTTTAGCAGAAGCTTTAGCAGACCTCAGCAAGCTCCGCAGAAAGTTTGAAAACATGGACTCCGATACTGAAAGGTT